TCAATCTCGGGATACTGCACTTTTCTGGGATCCACCCTCATCTCTTGGACTGTCAAGAAGCAAGTAACGGTTGCCAAGTCTTCCACCGAAGCGGAGTATCGAGCACTCTCAGCCGCCACATCCGACGTCCTCTGGATTCACCGCCTACTGGACGAAGTGGGCATTTCACAACAGCAACCGACTACCATTCATTGTGACAATATCTCAGCTATGGCTCTAGCCAAAAATCCAGTCTTCCACGCCCGCACCAAACACATCGAGATAGACTACCATTTTATTCGGCAACATCTCAACTCTGGCGCCATACAACTCAGCTACATTGCCTCTACCGACAACATTTCAGACATCTTTACTAAGTCTTTCTCTCCTGCTCGCTTTCAAGAACTTCGTCGCAAATTAACCATTCAAGATCAGAATGATTAATTTGAGGGAGACTATAAGCGAACAGAACACTCTTAATTACGTTAATACCATGTATTCCTTATTTAAGACATACTGTACCGCAACTTTACTAATAATGAAATACTTTTCCCTTTTCCTATTCCTGTCTCGGTTCTCTGTCTTGAGACGTTCTTCCTCCTTCTTTATCTTTGCTTTCATATAGTTGTACCAAACATACCTTTAACTACTCTAGTTTCAGAAAACAGCTTTCCATCATAAAAATTTATAAAAAGATGCGTGAAAGCAATGCCAAACAAAATTGTGGTTGCTATCTAAAAATCAAAGCAAGAAAATTATTCGGAATAAACCCTAAGTTGTTTTTCCTATAACAACTTTACAACCAATTTATAAAACGTTGTAGTCGTACAAAACTGACCCTTAATTATTTTTATTACTCATTTCATAATTTGAATCGCATAGAATCGAGTTTATGTCTTGGCTCACTTTTTAATTAAAATGAATAAGTAAAGAATTAATTTTAAAACTAAAAAAATGCCATATGCTATTTGATCAAAACAAAATAGATTACAAATATAGCTTATTAAAATCATTCTATAAAAATCCTATATAAGTTATGAAGCTTTATGATACCAAAGCCATTAAAAGTCAAAACTCTTCCACCCTATACATAGTACAAAATACTCAATCATAATCAAGCTTAACTTCAAATTTAAATCTTGCAAATAATAATGAAAATTTGAAAATGTCCACATAATATTTTTTTTAAAATATTTTTCTAGTTGAACTAAGTCATAACATTTCCATTAAAAATTAAAAAAAAAAATTGCCTTCAATTACAAATAGTCAAAGAACACTTGTCCAAAGTAACAAGAACATAAAATAAACAATAGGATGAATCACATAAAATTTTAATTTGCCGATTCATATATGATTTAAAAATAGATTAAAATATTATTTAAAAATTATTAGGAATGTGAATATGGTATCAACTATTGGGCAGAAACAACCATGAATTATAGTAAGATGCATAGATATTTAATTTTAATCATTCTAATTTAAAAAAAAATCATAATATTTTGATTGAATTGATCAGCTTAAATTTTAAAATTTTTGAATATATGTTGATAATAATCTATATATTATATTACTGATAAAAATTAAACCTTAAAATCTTTTCTTATCAAAATTTTATTTTGTATAGCCTAATATTAATTTGTTTCTTTATATTTTCCTCTTATGAGCCTCATCTCCATTACATAAACAAACCAAATTTGGGCCCATGCAATACTGCAAAATATATAACCAAACTGAATGCTAATTCCGGCCCACTATTAGGCCCATTAAAGGTATCTGTTTATCCATAAATTTTATTTGGTCCGGTAACCTGACATAGTTCTACATTCGATGAGCAGTAAACAGGCGCCACTTGTTCTCACTATTTACCGCGCGGCCCAACAACCCGACCCGGAACGAACCCGGGAGTTTGCGTATTGCTCGGTATTAATTGCTAGGTATTGGTCGATTTTGCTCGACAAAAATGAAAAATATCATTATGTGAAGACCAATACCGAGTTCTTTTAGGTATTACTCGGTATTGGTCTTCACAGAGCTGTATTTCTCATTATTGCCAAGAAATACCTAGCAATACCGAGCAAATACCGAGCATTACGCGAACATAGTAATCCCGGATTCCGGAGCGAGATGGGTCGTCGGGTCGCGCGGTAAAGAGTAAGAGCACGTGACGACAAATTATTGACTACCAGACGTAGAGCTACATCAGGTCACCTTACCTTATAATTTTTCGTTTATCCAGTACGTCCGCCCGTCCGTAAGATATTCTTTAAAATACTAAGTAATCAAATCGTCCAAAAAAAAAAACCATTGAAATAAAGTTAATATTAAAATGTTATTTGAATTCAAAGCCTCTCATAATTTTTTTTATCATTTAAAGTATATTATCTGAATCAATAAGGTATGTGAGAGACAACAAATCATATCATATATATTTTTTAATTACGCATATATTGCTCAAATCAACCATTTATAAATATAATAATTAGCTCATAAAAATACATTTATATATATATATATATATATATATTGTTGCGTGATTATTATTTGCCTCTCAAAAGGTAATTACCCTAATTTGCAATATATTTAACCAATTTAACAAGAAAATTTAGGCCCACTAATGATTTTTTTTTGCTATTAAAACAGTATGTAGATGCTTTGTAATTGTATGCCTTCTCCCTACATTTTCAGCTCTCATGAAATGCACTTTTTTTTCCTATGATAATTATACAAAAGAAATATTATCAACTCGATCTTTTTGTAATGTATTTCATAAAGAAATGTTTTTTTGAAGAAATGAAATATTTATCCAAAAATAGTAAAAAATTTATTGATTGAAAATATGAAATTATTGATATCGCTGTATTATGCTATTTTACATCTTATAATATCTTTTTATTGTTAGAATTATTCAAATTTTAAAATAATATTCTTCGATCTAAAATTTTATATCAAATCGTATAAATAATTTAGTCGAAAATTTATCTAAATTCATTGAAACACAAATACATAAAGCCATGGGCGGATCCCGTTTAAGCTCAGGGGGGCAATTTGCCCCTCTTAAAAAAGTAAAAAAATCTTCATTATATGATTTTTTAGGTAATTTGTCCATCTCCATCTTTTTTTTATCTTTATTACATGAATTTTTAGGCAATTGCCCCCTAAAAGTTTTAAAATATAATAATTTTTAGGCAATTGCCTCCAACATAATTAAACACATTATGTAGAAATAATTGTTAGGGGAAAATGAGCCAATTACAAAGAGAATTAGTAAAGAGAATTCATCATTTTATTTATTAATTTGAATTCCAAAAAAATCCTTACAACAAAAATTTGTTCTGACGGCACTGCCTCCGGAAACCCCTGCAAGGGTGCTTCCCATTGACCCATGGCTTGATCAGACAGGTCGAACCACATTAGGGGGCGTTGCCCCCTTGGACCCCGCGGCATATCTGCGAAGCGTACGACGATCAATGATATGAACAAAAAGGGGTTGAGCCAAATTCAAAGCAACTTAAACTTACATTTTGTAGAAAGTGAATTATTAATCATCTTTAGTAACATTTTTCTTTTGTCGCTATTGACCCATTTTCTTGTAGGGAATGATCGAGTCAAATTCGAGGCAACACCAATAGTAGGTTATAAATTTGTCCCCCCTGAAAATTAAGATTAGGCCCCTGATCAAAGTCACTGTTCTTTAGAGAGAGCCTTCTTTATACTCATACTTGGATGTAAGTAAAATTAAAACCAATCACTTAAACTTAAGTGTTTTTTATTTTATTATTTTAGTTTATCATAAAAAATAAAATAAAATATCCAATTTATACCAATTATAAAATCCATACTAATTAGCATAAAATCTAATAATAATACTTAATTTGTTTGCAATTTTCAACATTTTTTTTTTGGGAATGGTGTATCTACCCGCTGCCACTCCAAAGGGAGCATTTGGCGGCGTAACTAATCCATCTACGGAGTCTAATGAGGGCACCCACTGGCATCGTGCTCACACTTTCTTTGCCCCACTGAAGAGGCGAGGTTGTAGTAGGGGGATTCAAACCCGTGATGGGGGTTCCCAACCGTGCTCGCCCACCAACCACCCTAAGCATTGGTGGATAATTTTCAACACTTACATTTCATATTTTTATCATCATTCCCGAGGACTAAATCATAATTTTGTCATAAAAAGAATTAATTGATGTTAATAAATAATGTAATTAAAGAGGAGATTCATTCTATTAGGTGTGGATAACATATATATGAATAACTAATTAAGATGTTATATATATAATTATATATGATATCCTGATTGATTTATGTGACTAAGTCTCTTCTCATCCTTCGATAAGAGTAATGTATCACTGTTGACATCCTCCATAAAGCTGAAAGAGTCTTCTTTTGAAAGTGATGACAATAGATCAACCATTATCTATCCATTAGGCTAATCATTCTTAGCTTCCTTTTGGCCTTCCTAGATATCTTATTAATTAGATTATTTTTAGCTTCTCTCTATAAGAAATAAAAATGGCGCCTTCTCTTTCTCCCCCTTAGCTTCCTTTTGGCCTTCCTAGATATCTTATTAATTAGATTATTTTTAGCTTCTCTTTATATGTTCTAAATAATGAAGTTTGCATAGAAGTGTTTATGCACTCCTCTATGACGATAAATTATTCTTGGTGGACTCCGGACGTCATTCGTAGGCCAATCAGAACGTCCCACATCATTTTTTTTGCTCGGTATCAATGCTGAGTACAATTGGGTATTGGCTGATGTTGCACATTCTGATTGGTCTCTAGACTGTCCGGTATCTACACAGAATAATTTCTCCTCTATAACTCCATTGAAAATACATGGGATCATAAAATTAGAAGACTATTAATAAATAAATAAAAACTCTACCTATTTTTGTTTATAAATTTATTTTTCTATTAATTCAAATTAATTCAGCTGAACAGAGTCATGGACCGAATCTACATAATTATTAAAACCAGAGCAGCTGATTGGCCTTCCCGGCCGGCCACCAGCAATTCAAATAAAACCTCAAATAAGCCTCCAAAATGAACGCCGCCATCAAAACTCCAATCCAATAAAGAAAGAAATAAAAATGGCGCCTTCTCTTTCTCCCCCTCAATTTTTCAACTCCTCCTCAAAACATCAATACTACTACTTCGTCATCGGCGGCATGGCTTTAATCGTCTTCATTGTCCTCCTCGTCAACGCCTTCGCCGCCGGCTACTGCGCGTGGTTCTCGCGAGTCTTCTCCGGCCAACCACCACCTCCGCCGACGAGAGAGGTGCAGACGTGGATTCCGGCGTATGAGTTCAGAAAAGAAGAGAAGGAGGAGGCGGCTGATGTGGAGTGCGCCGTGTGCTTGTCGGCAATCGCCGACGGCGAGATGGTGCGGGAGCTGCTACAGTGCGGGCACACGTTCCATGTGGCGTGTATCGATCTATGGTTCCGGTCGCATACGAGCTGTCCTGTTTGCCGTTCGATTGTGCTTCCCGCGCAGTCGGATTCGATGGAGGCGCAGTCGCCGGAGGCTATGCTGGCGAGTAGAATGGATGGGAATGGGAGATTTGTAAGTGGCGTTGTGTAAATTCAGTGAAGTTGTGATATGATCATTTTCTATGTAAATAGCAGATAATGAACCATTTACTTCTCTATTTAGGCCGAGGTTTTTACAGCTTTTTAAAGTAATTTTTTAATAAAAAAATAACTTTTCTACTAAAAAAGTATTTTAAGAAGCAGAAAGAAAGTCATTAAAAAAAACTTAATTTATTAAATGATTTTTATCTATAGTGAATTTGAGAAGACATTAGCATCTATGATGATATAGAGCATTAGATATTATCATATTTATAAAAAGAGGAGGATTTATGACAATATTAAGTGGTAGTGGATGGCAAAAGATGTGCATTAGATGCTAAGTTATGACATGCATGAGATGTTAGGGAGGGAAAGATATAGGTAATTAGATATCTTGTTAAGGTGGATTGCTTAGAATGATGGGCATTTGGGTTTTGTTTGAGATGACTTTTTTATTGCAACTTAAAGAAAATTTTTAGTACTAAAATTTAAATTTTTGTACTAAAAAGCTACTGTAAGAAGTAGTAAGAAAGCCGTCTCAAACGAAGCTTAGTTGACCAACAAGCAACCTCAAACATCAATGTTTGTATAATCATGGAAAGTTAGGTCAATCATTTTCTCCATCTAAGGAGAGAGAAATAATTTGGCAAATTTTATGTTCGCCGTTGTTGAATGTTAGATAATGATGATGATAGATGTTGATGTCAACAAACAACAAACATCAAGTGACGGATAACAAAGGCAGCCAGCATTGTTTGACGTCGGCCAACATTGAATTTTTTGAAGTTCACGAATGACAAAGGTAATCAACATCGAATATTTAAAATATTTAAATATTTGAGATCTAAATATGATATCAAAATTAAAATATGATCAAATCATTATTACTAAGTAGACTCAATGATTTTGGTCCAAACTCGATCTTAATAAGAAAATTCCATCTGGTTTTGATCATAAGAAAAAATCCCCCCAAATTATGATAAAAAATTCCCTAATTATCAGTCTGGTTTGATAATATGTGATAATGTCACAATCCGTCGCCACGTGGACTTTTGATTTCCCAATCGGGCAGCTGTTTGACAATATTGTTTTTTGGACAGCTTTGCAATTCTTTCAATAATAATATAGTGGATGAATATATCAAATACGAAGTAGAAATGATTTCCAATATTTTATATTTACAAATTTTATACTGATTAATTATATTAAAAAATTATTTTAACAAGCATTAAGAAAGCCATCCCAAAAATTACAAATCATAGCCTATTTATTTGTCTGAATATCTTCTTTGAATTGAAGGACGGTGAAAGAATAAAAACAAATTTCAACAAATTTATAAATTTACAGAGTATTTCTTATCATTAAAGCAATTTTAAGAAATATTATAGGTTTGTTATTCTAGCATTATTTTATATTAATTAATTATAATTAAATTCAAATGAATTGTTAGATATCCTTTGGACTTTTGGACTCATTTGTAATTTGAAAAAGTCAGCTGTTTGAATTTCAGCTATTTCGGCTGATCGGCTAAATTACAAAACATGAAAAAGGTTTAACATGATAACTATTACATCTTGCTATATGTTGGTAAAGTACTTGGATATTGAGATAATAGAATTTTGAAATTTGTGTGTCGATAACTGTCAAATCTTGTTAAATCATGATAAATTATTCACAATTTGTTTCAATACTTAACTACCTAAGAAAAGAAATCATTAAATCTGTTAAAATTTTGTGAATGATGAGCTAAAACTAAATTTATCAAAATAATTGAATTTAAAATCCCAAAAACTCAGATAAGAAGAATTCAGGCTAAATCTTGCATAAATCCTGCCTAAAATAAGATACCATACAACAACTAAGGTTTTATTTGAGACAGCTTTCTTAACTGCTTATTAAAGCAGCTTATTAGTACAAAAACTGCTTTTAAGTAGTAAGAAACCTGTCCGAAACAAAGCTTAGGCTTTTGTACTGCTTTTTAAAATGATTTTTTATTTCAAAATTTTCAAATTCAAGAAATTTTTTTACTAAAAAACAGTTTTAGAACACAAGAAAAAAACTGTCCCAAATTAAGCCTAAGTGTGGGTGAAATACAGCAAACATATAAAGTGTGAAGTTGCTGCGAAGCAAAATCATGTCAGGCTGAATCAAAATAAATATCCTTAATTCTCGAGCAACTGACTTATATGCTGCATCAGTTGAGATGAACCCAAAAGCTGAAAACTCCACTATCATCTCGTCAGAAAGAAAATCCACATTCTGAAAGTTGGGATTTTAAAACTGAATAAACTGAGTATGCGGAGAAAGCGGTTAGAAGAACTTGCTTTTGCCGAGCCTCTGTAAATGATAATTTATGGTCCTTGCTGGGTTCTTAGGCTTGCTGCTCTGCAATACCACGAAAGAACAAAGTCAATCTGATGACTTGAGGAGGTGCATATTGAGGGTCTAATTTGTAGAGCCTGATTTTTTAGTTCCTATTCAATCGAGAATCTAAGATTATATTCTGGTGGGAGTGATTTACAAGTTTTATTTTTGTTAAAAATGCTTTGAAATTTTCATTATTATAGTATTAATAGAACTTCACAAGAAAAATCATAATAAAATTTGCAACAGCACGGCAACAAGACGTAGACATCACTGAAGTTCAAAATTTTTTTTAAACAAAATCTGTTTTGAGGTAGAACAGATTGAGCACCTGAGATTCCACACAAGCAGCTAATAGTTCTTTCTGTCGGGCACAATTGTCGTCATTGTTTTTGTTAAGAGATATACAGCTGAGGAATGCAACCATCTCCTTCATGCAAGGTTTCCCAACAGCACCAAATTTTTTTGGATTTATGTACAAGCCTCCAGCCTTGCGCCCCATGCTTCTAGACTAGCTTGGTAATCCAAGAGGGGCAAAATGCACTGCAGAAAAAAAAAGACACAAGAAATTCTTTAAAGTTTTTTGTAAAAACCATAAATATTCTTCTTTCCTTTAAAGTTTTTTGCTCAAGTAGGTTCCTCGGATTTTTTTTTTTTTTTGGAAAATTATAGGGGATCCCTCACATTTATTAAATGAAAAAAAGGATGAACAAAGTCTTCAAAAAGGCAAATAGAACAGATAAACACCTAAAAACTAAAGGTTGAAGAAACCAACCTCAAAAAGAACAAAAGACATATAAAGAAATTAAAAACAGACTATGACAGAAAAAAGGCAAAAAAACCCACAGGACACAGGAAGAGCAAGCCTTCCAGAAAAAAACGTCAAAGGAAGAGTCCCACCTGGTTGCCAAGGCTAAGGACCATCCATGGAGGCAAAAACCCCAAAAAAACTTTATCTAATAAACAGACACAGCACAAAAATCAACAACATCCTCAAAGGAGCAGCTGAAATACTTCACCAAAAGCCTCACAGCAGTGGATAAGGAGCATATAGTTGGAGAAGGAAGATGGAAGAAGAAAACAACCAGCAAAAATGAATGTCTCAATCCACGAATTGCCACCAAGGTATTATTTTTCTTTAATTGATAATTATTTAAAAAAAATACGGGCATTCTTTTTGAAATAAAATAATGAGGCAATCCACATGGAAACAACTTGCAGGAAAGTAAAGATATTGGGAAATGATAATGGGCTTCAATTTTGTATTCATGAATTCACAAAGTTCTGCAAAGATAAAAAAATATCAAGTCATAACATAGTGAGGATGCTCTACAACAATATTTGTTAGCAGAGAGGTTCAAGAAGATCATTCTTGAAAAGATAAAATGTATGTTAAGCAATTTAGGGTTGCATAAAAGCTTTTGGGTTAAAAAGTTAGAACTATATCATATCTGATCAAGAGATGATCATCCTAAGCCATTAGTTGACACCCCAAAAAGCTTGAAGTGGAAGACTAGTCAAATACTCCTGCTAAGGGTCTTTGAATGTAGAGCTTATGCTCATATCAATAAAGAAAAGCCTGAGGAAAGTATAATGAAATGGATTTTTATTGGCTAGCTAAAATGAGTTAAAAGTGTATAATTTATGATTTTTGGATCTAGGATTTATAAAATGCATGATTAGTAGGGATGTTGTGTTCAATGAATAGCAAAGACTGAAAATGTTACATTAACAAAGCACAAGACAAATCCAATTGATGTAAATTGAAAATAGAGATTGAGGTGGAGCACCAAGCCAATAAAGTTATGATGCCAATACTCTAGAATCAGCTGAAGCACATTCCAAAAAACTTGGATAATAAACTATTAATGAAAGGTAGAGAACTTATGACTTGGCAAGTCACAGACCTTCGTGTCCTATCAAAGAACCACAAAGGTAAGAATATGCTGATAATATACGAGCTTTTGTTATAGAATTAATGAGCTAAGATTAACCGAAATCTTATAAAGAAACCATGGTATGTGTCGAAAGAAGTCAATGGCAGCAAGCTATGCAAGAAGAATTATTGTAATTAAGGGGACGTTTGGTTTGCTAAAAAAGTAATGAAGAGTATTCTAAATGCAGGGGATTTTAAATTTTGGGTGTTTGGCTCAATGAAAAATGAATATAGTGTAAAATTTTAGTGAATTCATTTTTTTTCACTCGCTTGTTCACTTTTGATGTATTTATTGTAAACTCACTCAGTTTTACACGAACTCTTTTTAAACTGCAAGCTAACAGCGTTATCGCTGGCCACTACCAGCCATTGTCGACCGTCACTGACGGCCACTACCATCATTTAACTTTGTACAACATTCTTTTTACTTCAATTTAAATAAAATTAATAATATCTTGCATTCTTTTACAATCATCCAAATAACTCCAAATATTTCAAATACATTACATTCCTTTTACATTACATTTCTTTTTTAGTAAACTAAATAACCCCGGAAACAAAACAATGCTACAAAATTGGTGGACAAACCAAATCATAAAAGATAGTTGCAATTGGTTGTTTAGACAGAATAAAAGTTCTACTAAATTGAAAGAATTAGACGTAAAATAAGACTAATTAGAAGGTGCTTCTCACAAGGTGAGACTATAGTGAA